CTAATTAATCAATTGAAGATAACAGAGACCCCAGCTCTAGGTGCATCATGTGCTCAGGAAATTCAGGTGCATTTTTTAGCTACAAGCTATTAACTGTGGGTCTGTGGATCTAGCTGAAGAGAATAGTACGACAGCTGCAAATATCTCGAAAATTATTCCTTCTACTCATCAGTATCATGTACATTTTGCTCATTTTCAACCAAACCTTATTAATCCAGAAACCATTTTTGTGTAGACAGTTTGATGGTGTGGTGAATGTGAGGAGTGATAGGTGGTGCTGGATGTTGTGTGCGTATCGCTGTTGCATGAGGCTGTGCCATCTGAGCAATTAGCCCAGTGGCTGGATGAAGTGAACTGGAAACATTTGATTACTGTGCAAGTCCCTGAAAGAAGGGTTTGTAATGGAGGTATGGTTTCCAGTTATTTCTTGTTGAGAGCATGTCTCAGCAGTCCTTCACCTTCAAGAAAGGCTCAGATGATTAAATCACGTCCCATGTCCTTGCTACCTCTCCCAAGCTAGTCAGAGGGGAATGGTGTAGGTACTGCAGTGGTCCCAGAGAGTGAAAATGAGTCCTAAAAGAAAATGTTTGCTGCTTAGTGTCAGCAGAAGACCATCTGGGTTTAGTTTTGTCCTAAATTCAGACTGTGCTGCATCTAACAGCTCTTTCAACAGCGATGGGTCTCTTTTCAGTGGTGAAGCTCAGAGGACCTTGCAAAGGTAGTACTGTGGTTGCTCTTTTTTGCAGATGAGGAGACTGAGGCCTAAGGAGGAAAAATGTGTTTGCTAGTGGCCTTTAATTTGTATTTGTTGAAAAACTGAAGTTCTAAGAAGGAAAACAGTCAGTTCAAGCTTTCACTATAGATAATGAACCTGTGCTTGAATCACCTAGTGTTCAGACTGTTTGGAGCCTTGTAGAGGTCCTAGGTTTCTCTAGATCATTTCAGGAGAGAAGGCTGAAACTCAGCCTACTGCTCACTGTGGATCCATATTCACATGTAATTGAGTTTGGACAGTATGGATATGCATGATCAGTGGTAATCTGTCAACATGTTATCCTGTAAAATCGTAAGGTTATATCACCAGCCATCACAGAGAAGAAGATCAGTGGTGGGCTCTGTTCAACAAGTGCTTGTTATTTGGTTTGGTGAGAGAATATAAAATCAAGAGAATGCCTGAGCTCATCCTAGACTAAGAATGCGTGGGTATGCCACACACGAGAGAGCGACACTCTGTGATGGACTGTGACAGCACGAAGAACACACTCTGTGTTATGCGCAACATGCACTACTGTTATAACATGGTCTGTGGCCTGCGTGCCACAGAGCCTAACACAACTGCTGCCTTCGGTTAAATTAGTGTGAGATGTATGCATGGTTGTACTGAAGGGAAGACACAGTCATCTTAACTCGTGCAACTGCAGATGAAGAAAGGCTAGTAAAATATTTGTCTATGGTAGGGCAATGCCATCTAGTTACCAGTCTACCAGCTGTCAGGCTCCTGACTCACAAGTAGTGCAAACTTGACCATTTTATATCCTCCACTTTACAGCAAAATGTCAAAGTCCTTCTGGGTCTTATGGGCTTTTTTTTAATATTGTCTTATTGCAGCGTTTCCTAAGAGCACCTCTGAGGTAGTATTTTCAAGGTATCATCAATGCTGCCTGGCCCTTGAGTGCATGCAGCGGTATGAAGGGACCTTCTTCAGAACCATCCTTAGTGCAGGCTGGGGTCTGAGAGGTCTCTAGAACTTGAGTGTCAGAAACGTTTGTGGTGAAAACCAAGGTCAGACCTACATGCCCTTGGGAACACTGGCCACATTATAGGCAATGTTTGTTTGTTGCTGGGGTTTTTTTTCTTCCTTTAGGTGGAAAGTTTCTCTGTGCTGTTCAGTAATTCTTTCAGGTGGAAAATCATTTCCCACCTTGCAGCAAAAGTATGCCTGGCAGGGAGAGAAGTGTTGTAAGAGAAGCACTTCATAAAGTTGATTTTCAGCCAAAGTCAAGTCCCTCTGGGAGCAGTTATAACTCGTGAAATTTTTAGCAGGCTTGAAGCTACTCTGACTTTGGGGGCTGAGGAAACCTCTTGCTATCTGCAGGAGCTGCATAAGTGACATCATCACATGTTACTTTTTCTTCTGCCTGGACACAGTTAAAGTCAGCCTGTGAAGCTCTCAGACACAAGCTGAAGCAAGAAAGGGGCCGTGCTGCCATGGTAAAGCAAAAGGCTTAAGTAAAGAACATGTGACTTACTTAAATCAAGGAACTGTATGAATGCTTCTGTGACCCATCCTTCAGGCCTGGAACTCCCATGTATTTTTGATTCATAGCATCAATATTCTTTGAAGAAATAATCTTTGGGACATTAATGAAGGAATTTCAAATTAGTAAGTATCAAAAAGGACTAAATATAAGTACTTTAGCAAAGCATATATTGATGGAAATCTGGCAATTGCATGCTTTTGAAAAAAAAAGTTTAAAAATATCTCTCAACTATGGTGCTTTTATCTGGAGGAATTACACTAGCTACAAAATATACACATGTTAGAATCTATTGATCACTCAGATGCAGTCATGATGAGTTAAAACATAGAATAGTGTATTGCATACTGTATTGTGCAGGGCCAGTCTTTGAGAAGGAGACCAGTTGAAGCCACAGAGGGCCAGTATTTTAGAATCTAAATGAACGACTGTATTTTTCATATATTCTAGAAAAACTCTCTCAGCTGGTGTGAACAAGTTAGAATATTTAGGCTATCCTTTTGTTTTTTTTAATCAGGGACCCCTATATTCACTGAACAGTTTAGCTTCTCGTCGGTCTTTTTTTTTCTTTTAATCTTGTGCCAAGTGTTTAAGAAGGGGGCAGCAGTGGTATTTCAGTAACTGCTTGCAGCATTATTTGCATGCCTTTGTATTTTCCATGGTGATCAATGCTCGGCCGTAGTGGAACTTCAGTCAGTAAATTTTATGTGCAATGGTTAAAGTAATTTTATTTTTAATGAGTCTGTTCTAGGGATTTCAGTGCCCCTTTATAAATATTTATATTTTCAATATGTTTTCATTTAATTGAAAAGGTTCTTCACATTATTTTCAGACAACCGCAGGTAGTAGGTGTAATGACATATCAACACTCTGACCTTTTAGCTTCTGGATTTCTATTAGTCCATCCACATTTTGCTTGTCCATGTATATTATATTTTAGTTTGTATACGATTTTCCTCTATGGGCTGTTGGAATGGATGGTGTTTTCCATACAAACAGCTTAATGAACTGGGAAGGAAGAAAATATGCTGTTGCATACTAGCAGCTGTCCTGCAAACTGTGTCCTGAGTACTGTAATCAATGTGCACTGCTACTAGAAATCCACACTGAAATAATGTTTGATATTTGCATGACCATCAGTCAGAGAGATGGTCTCAAGTCATATTCATCAATACAGCAAAAGCTTCTGATATTCATGAATTTGTTTTGAAGTTACTTCAATTATTTATCTAAAAACACTGCCCATTATGATATCCTGTTGCCACCACTTTTGTTGTGAATGTCTTCCATGTCACTACCAGTCTCACACTACCAGTGAATTTTACACTAGTGGAAAATGGCACCAATGAATTATGGCTCTGAAGAGATGGGAAGCAATCGTTGCCAATTCCACGGAGAGCTTGCTGGTGCAGGCTCCTCCGCTAGTAATCAGCAGTTAATGTGTGATCTCTACCATTGCACCTTAAGAACTCAAGCAGCTGGCTACCTACTGATTCCTTGGGAAATAATTCCACAGTCAACAGGCTTCATTGATGATTTTTTACCTGGTGCACCATCTTCTTCTTTATTCTCCTTTATTCAGTTTCTTCTCATTATTTATAGGTAACCTGTCTGTCTGTCTAATATCCTTCATTTTGCTTATTTTCCATAGCTATTTTTAGCTGATCCAGGCATATTTATTTCTTTTAGCTTCATGAACCTCTTGCCTAAAGACCCTATTCAATTTATTTTTAATTTCTGATCTCCCTTTGATTTGTCTAGAAGGTTCCGGCACACAAATACAAAGCATGTAGTACTGTATTCTGATTTGTACAGTGAAAGAGCATTAATTTGTGCCCTGTGATTTGGTAGCTCTATGAATATGCCTCAAAATCATCTATAAAACTGGATGGGTTGAGTATACATTCGTGGCACTTCAGTATGTAATAGATGGTAAACATGTCTACTTTTTGCCTGAATGAAGCCAAAACACTGGATCAGAAAGGACCCTGCAAGAAATTGTGATGGAGAACACTATAGATATTGAAATGTCCTGCAATAAAACCCTGATGCTGGCAGGTTACCTATCTCTGTCTACTACAGAGAGGCTATTTAAGACACAGTATATTCTAGTACAGGTATTACTAGTTTATTTAAACCAGCATCAAGCAACAATTTAAGATTCCTTTTACAAAAATATTGACCAAAAACCTTTGGAATTGGTTCGCATGTGCAAATCATTCATATTTCTAAGTAATCCTGCTGATTTCATGATTTCAAATTTTGCATTGTAGCATTTTTATTCCTTTCATTATATTGAAAAATCTGCAATTTTGCAAATAAACCCCCTCTAGTTGGTGAGTCTGCTTGCTAAAAGAGGGTCCAGTGTAACACGAGTTAGTAAACCATCAGTAACTTACACTGGTTAATTCAACTACATGTAAATCACACTAACAGCATATTGCTGCAGCACAAAGGTGATCAGGAAGTTGCTACATCTGAAAAATACTGTCTTTTAAGTTTTTGTGGAATAGGTTTTTGACTTTTTAAAATTTTGATACTTGTTACACACTTCTAGAAAGCCTGATGGAAACAATATGTTGTTTTTGTTCTCCGTCACTTTTGAAATAAAACTTGTTTCGGTATTAGTGTATGTAGATCCACATATGGTAATATTAAAAATATTAATTGAACTGAGTGTAGTATTCTTGCAGTTCACCCTTACACTGAAACTTAATAACGTGTATGATTTTGTTTTCCCAGCTTATACAAGTCTTTGTCTGAAGGAGTGAGTCTGAAGGACCAGCTTAACTGTGCTTTCGGTACTTGTGAAGGGGAACCGCAAGGCAGGGAAGGTGCTGTGACCCTTACCTATCACCAGATTGAAGAGCTGGCAGCCCAGCTGCAGCAAACGCGGTCAGAGCAGAAGGACACAGAGCTGAAGCTCCAGAAAGCCCTGGAGGCTTCACAGGAGGCCAATGAAAAAGTTCAGAAGTAAGTCACTTGCCTTCTTTTAAGAAAAATTGCCGTTGAAAACCAAATGTAATGCTGTTTCTTCTGGTATTTTGTCTGTGACTGGAAGTGTGGCAGCAGTCAGAAAAGGTCCATTAAAATGATTCTGTCTTCATCAGCCGTTCAGCTCGTCACCTACTCAGTGTGAAGCCGATCATTTTAACAGTTTTATAGTGTTACACAAGTCAGCGTGGCTGTCATTACTGTTATGGAAACTGCTTGCTACATGTACAAAGCACAAAGAAAGCGTTTCCATCTCCTATGAATGGTTTTCACTGTCTTTTTACCCCATGGCAATCCTATGGCAACAGAGTATTTGCCTTTATAATTGCATGGTGGAATATTAAGGTTCTCATTTTCGGTCTGTTACTCACCCAGCAGGTTTCATGCCACAGTAAATGCTGATGGGGTTGTTTAGGAGTGGCTTCAAAATCTCACTGAAACCAAGAGGAAGCCTCTCAGCTGGTGAACAGGGATTGTGTTCTCTTTCCCATCATAAGATTCCCTCTTAAAAGGTTACTGAACTCCTAAACCTGAAGTTCATCTCTGCCGAAGTTCTTATTGTTATATTTATTATTACTAGCACAGAAGTCTTTGAAAGTCTGATTTCTGGATGTAGGCAAACATGTAGGCAGAGCCTCTTCACATTCTGGAACTTCTCATCTCTGCATTACATTCATCAGCTGCAAAATACCCCCCTCACACCCTTCCAAGGTGGCTGATGCTGAACTGATGCATATTTTCCTATCAGTGCATATTTCTCTTCAAGTTTAATGGCTGCAGCATATTTCCAGAGTAGCCAGAAATTGGCTTATAATACAGGGCAAGGACTTAACAAGAGTTCTTCCTGTTTAAAAAACAAGCGTGCTGAGTTCTCCTATTAAAAAAATAAAGAACTTATATTTTTATATTTTTATTTATTTGTACCTACAGAAAAAAAAGTTAAGATATATGTATATGAAAATACATATCTTCAGTCATCTCTTTAAAACCTCCAGTGATTGTCTGAGAATCATTGAAATCTTTATTCTGAACACATATTTGAAACTTCAGCAGGTGCGTGCTTGATGAAAATAAATGTAAGAAAAATAATTACAGCATGTTAAAGAGAATATTGACTAAAGCTTTCTGTACATTGTTTAAAGTTGTTATTGCATTTCATTTTATTTATAAACATTTACTAACCATAGATATTTAAGTGAAGATTATTTTTTGGTTTGAGGGGTTTTTTTAGTGAAACAGTATTGTTTAATCCAGCGTAACCAGGGTGGCTAGAGTAGAAGTGCAGCCACAACCTGAATTGAAGTGGTGGTGATGCACTGCTATAGTGAAAAGAATTTACACAATGTAACATGCTCAGCTACTTGGGAAAATTTTGGTCAGGTTAGTTTTCATTATTGCTAAGATCAGACCAAGGAACCTATAGCAAAATTAAACAATTGGGTGAGGTCTTTTGATGACAATAGCATGCCCTTTTTACCAAGAAACTGTGGAAATGCTCTGTGCATCTTCCCAGCACCCGAGTCATCTACCCCCATCTTATAATTCAACCTGCAAACAGATTAAGCAGCTGAGTTTGTGGAAAGTGTGTTTACTTTGAGCTAAGAACCCTTGTGTGACACTATAGAGATTCCTCTGACACCTCTGGGAGAGCTACACAGACAGTTCGTACTCATCAGCAGGGAAACCGGGCTGAGAATTCCCAATTTCTTTGTAACCTCAACCGCTTCATACAAATCAGTGTTTGGCAATTAGGCAGGAACTCAGTTGTTAGCTTAGCTTTTTATTTCAAAGATGTGGGATGTTCTATATTTCAAAAAGGAACTGACAATTTATAAACCTGTCAACGGAAAGGCTTCTTGGTATTAATTACAGTAGTATTAATTATTAGCAAGAGGATGCTTGTTGTAATTTAATATGTGACACCATAATTCATAGCCTAAATAGGGTTCTAAAACATCTGTTTTCTTGACTTCTTTTAAATGCTTAAGTAAAATTGAATTCTGACGTACGAGACAAGTATTTTTAGCAGCTATATAAAGTAGTTTCTCAGTATTATTCAGTAAAAAATCTGAATAATGTAGCAACAATTAAAAATCAGAAGAGAAAATAATTATGAGCTTCATTAAGAAAGAACGTAATTAGAGTAATTAAAATAATGTTGAAAAAGGATGTACTTTATATCTTCATACCATGCAATTTACTGACGTTCACTGTGCCTTTGCTAATCTGTTTTCTGGCAACACTGAAGAATTTTTTTATATTTTTAAAAACTTCTGTGTTTACATTCAGCATCATATGCAGAGCTTGAAATAGAGATGTAATTTCTCCATGTCATTGCCATCGTGTCAGCCGTTTGTGTACCCACCTGCAATTGTTGCTTTCTAAAAGCGAGAGAGACCCAAGTCGGAATAGTGGTCCTGTGTTTTCCGTCATGACACAAAGCATCTAAAAAATTTTGGAATCCTATCCCAAGTGAAACAGCAGCTGCGAGCCAGAAGCGGAGTATAATGGAACCTGCTTATAGTGAACTTGGATATAGTAAAATTCTGTTTATACTAAGTAGGGTGAACAGCTCACATTGGCTCACTGCAGTGTGAGATATAAATTGCGACTGCGTGCTCGCGCCTGTGAGGATGATTCGCCATCCTAGCAGAGGTGGTGGTGTGAAACAGAAAATGCTGATGCTCAGAGAGTGACCAGACAGATTTAGCAGCATTTGTTTGAATCTATTTTGGTTTTGAAACATTAACGGGATATGCATTAGACTTTTAAGAGAGCACTGTTCTAGTTTATAAAGCAAATACACATTTTAACAGTGGTGTATGTAAATAAATGTATGTATACACACACATAACACAGTACCTATTTATTCAATAGGAAATTAGGATGATTTGTGCAATACGTAGTATTTTTAACCTGTACTCTGTACAGTGGCTATGACCACAATTTTCTGTATTTAGTTAATGTTTCTAATTCATGGTTACAAACAAAGAATTAGGACAGCAGCATAGAATTCGCCAGGAGTGTTGGCACAGTGCCACAGGCCCCCTGCGAGTTTGTCCTGCCGGAGAAGCCAGGAGCCAGCTGGTGCAGCCCCAGTGGGGAAACGGGGCTGACCTGGAGAAGGTGGCTGGGAAAGCCTGCAAATTAATTAATGCCTCTGCCAGCAGAGGAAGCAAGACATTTTAAGACTGTCCTTCCTGCTGGAACCTCTGGGATTGAGGAGTGGCTACTGATGGCAGTGAGATCAGAGGAGGTTATACTGTAATACCAAATCAATATTAGCCAATTATCAGTAAAGGCTGAGGCCATTTTTGATGTGTTTTTTTCCAGGAGATGTTCTCTTTTTTCTGCGACAGCTTTGCAGCTGGAGTGAATTTTAATGCAATTTGTCTATTGAGGGCTTCTATTTTTTCTCACAGTTTAATGATTCTAGCTCAAGAAAGTGTAGCTCTCTGCGTGTGAGCGCAGCCGTGCTTGCACACTCACATGGCTGTGTAAGGTGGCAGCGGGGAGCGTGCGTGTAGAATTTGTATGTAACCCTCTTAAAGTAAACACAAATCCACAAAGTAATGGTGCAATGCTAAAATATACAGGCATGAGAGAAAACATAAATGGTGAGAAACATGCTGCTTGTGCGCTTTGTCGAGGTAGCTCTGACTGTGAACAAAGTAAATATAGAAGTAGTGTAAACCAGAAATGATTACTTCATTTGTCCTTGACTGTTTATTAAAGAGACCTTTTCTTTTGATTTTGTTTTTTTTTCTTTTAAGGAGGAAGTCAGGAGAGTTACAGATTTGGGTAAAATATTTCAGTGGATTGAATACAAAGGAAAACTAAGCAATCTTCTGAATAAGCAGATAGTATTATCAAAGGAAATTACTATCTCTCATAAAAGGAATACTACCCTTAATAACATTTACTTTATCTCTTAAGGTGTGATTTTTTTGGCCACCTAACTTTGTTACTGGAACACACCCTTTTTTAAAGTAATCCTGGGTTTCTCTCCTGCATTTCTGAACATGCTTTCTCTGCTTTCATAGTTGTTCACTTAGTTTCTTAGCTGATGCTGATAAATAAGTTGATCAATGACACAACAGAAACAATCAGTTCTTAACAGCATTTGGCACAATTGAAAAGAACACAAAAAAAATGGAAAGAAATAAGAAGCAAGCATTTATTAAGTGGTGAGAGTCCTCCTCTTCTGCAAGTAAAACTAATCTGTCTCCGAGTGCGGGAGCTGTGTGCGTTTCACATCAATGTCTAAGATGTTCTCCAGGGCTGGCTGGAGGGTCTAATCTTTCCCAGAATGATCCAAGCAGTGCAGTTGAAGAACAAGAATGAATATTTGAATAATCACACCACAATGTGAGGTGACCCTCCAACAGGGGACTGACCAGATACACATATGGATTTTGGGAAGACACTCTGATGCTCTTTTATAACACAGCTGTGAGAAGAATGTGGCTAAGACCCAGTAGTCTTTCTGGAGTATAGCTGGCAAAGGAAACCATGAGGAGAAGAGAATTTAACACATGGGTGTAAGAGAGTCCGCTTCATTGATGCGATCTGAGGGGAATGTCTAATGACTGGAAGAATCAAACTTGGCAATGAAAACACAAAGCTCTTTTCATCAATTCAAACGCAGACTCTAAAGCTGCAGATGGTTACCTCCAGCCTTGCCTGTTCAGTGTGGGGTTGTATAAAATGGCACTTTGGTGAATACTAATAGACCAAAACAAAGATTTAATAACATAAAGATGTGGTGTTCATTTTTAAATGAGGATACAGGTCAGTGTCTCAGAAAAGAGGGAAATAAGTATCTTTATGTACAGGTCTAAAGTCTCTGGAGATTTTTAACTGCAAACATGGCATCTTTAGTGTGCGGATTGTATTCAGTACAGCACAGCTATGCAGGGAACAGGCTAAAAGCAGGGTTTCTGAATTATTAGACTAATTGAGCCTCTTTGCAACATGCA